GTAGCTAGTCATCACCACCCACCGGGCTACTTTTTCACCAACGAGTAGTGGGATTGATTGTGACATTATGACACTCCACCGGCTGAAAGGGCAAATATGATTGGTGTGAGATTCGAACCCGCGACCCGTAAATTGTGAGTCAAGAGTCCTAACCACCTGGCTATGCCAGGGGCCAAAGAGAAGAGGAAAAAATGGAATACCACACAACTTTTATGTTCGTATTGTACGTAGCGTTATAAAAACAATTTTCCAACTTATTTACATAATGAAAGTAAAGGTAAAATATGTGTAAGTTCTTAAATAAATAGATCGTGTTTATTTATGTCAACACTCAGTGCACACGAAAAATATACAAACACGTAAAAATGACAATTTTACACTAGAGGCAAGCAAACTCTGTTTAAAAACAGTATCTAGAGACGTGTGTAATATTTCCAACTACTTTTGCTTTATCTTTGCTCTGAGTTGTTAAAAAAGCTGAAATACCCAAGAGTGGGTTGAGAATGAAAAACAGTCACCATAAATTGCGGAAACATATGGATATATTTCTGATACAATAAAATGAGCTAAAAGGAATTAAAATACACTTGATGAAAATACAATGTGGTATTTAATCATAATGTTTGACAAGAAAAGTCATAAAATGGTCAAGCTTCAGCTGTATTATTTTATTTTTCTTAGAGCGCAAGATCGCGTATTTATTCAATGTGCCATCTCATGGCGAAGTGTTGATTTAAACTTAAAGGTTTGATGGTCGTATGTTGCCAAATGCGCAGAAAATGTGAGAAAGTTAGGTTATATGTTTGACAGTGTTAATATAAAATAAGGTAATTATAATTTATATAATGCATTGAACTTTTGTATAGAAAATCAAGTACATTATTAGTAAATCGATGCTATGAACTAATTGTTTTTACCTGATCTATTGCCAGTATTGGTTATTTCGACTTGGCTTAACTCACTCTCAAGACAAGAACTTTGAGTTTAAATTATCAAAGTTTGAAGAAGAGATAAAGTCCCCTATAGTGATAAGTAAATGTAGCCGTAATTTATACAAATTAGGATACAATTACAAATACAATTCGCATTAGTCTTTTTGTAACTTGCAGTTACCGTGACATACTGCTACTTCAACTGAGTACTTGACTGTAGTTTACGTTTCGTGGACAACAGTTAATAAACTTAAAACGTAAGAAAAAGGAGTTATTCACTTATTGTCTCTTCGTCCTGCTGAAAGTGAAATTTAAACTTGAAAGTGAAAATTACAATGTTGTATCAAAGTTAAGTAAAAAATAAGTGGTGTGAGAAGTGCGTACAGCTAATGCAACACAAATGGTAACTGTCCATTGTGTACAGTCTGGAGCTTAAAAGTTAGAGTTAAAGTTAGATTCATAGCCTATGTAACTGTGTCAAAGGGCGAGAAAAAGCCATAACTTACAAAGTTCCTAAGTTCAAATTCAATAGTCAGCCACAACCTGTAGCTATACAAAATTTAGAATTTTAGTTTGTCCCTGATGCAAGGTTGCTAACCTTACAATAAATTTTGTTTTACTGATATCATTAAAGAATAGAAACAATATAATACCTTACAGAAATAGACTGTTAAAATGTGAAATTTTTTAAATATTCCTTATATTTACAGATTATTGGCAACCCTGCCTAGAGGCCTTAATATATACGTTATTAGTAACTATAAGTATAACTTAAGGTTAAGCCAAAAGTAAGTTGGATCAAACTAAAATAAGTAAGTATTTACAGTAAAAAAATGGTAAAGGTAGTAAATTGTATATGTAGTCTGGTATGTTAATGTCTAATTTAATGTTTGTATGATACATTATTGACAAGCATCTATTGCAACAAACTACAGCGAGATAAGGATACAATAATAAATATTGACAGAACTAGAGGTTAACTCTTAAAAATATGCCTGCCTTTTTAGTTCTATAATGTCACTAATACTACTCTGAAGATTGTTAAAACATTGGGATAAACTGCTCAGTGTAATGGCATAGAAATTGGAGAAAGGTCAAGACTTGTTTCATGTAAGTAATAATATTAAACTTAAAGGGTCTTTTTTATGGGAATTAAAGGATGTAATGATTTTACAGAAGTACCTAACATTATTTTGGGGTCTTTTTTTTTTTTTTTTCTTCATGAGCTGATATGTTCTCAAAGATCTTAGCTCTATTGTATAAGAACAAATTAGGTGTCAGTAAATCTAAATGTAAAGAGATGCTTTTTATTGCTGTTGGTTGGTAGAAAGTTTTTGCCAGAAATAATTTAGAATACTGTATATAATGTTACTATAAAAACGGTGTTGAGCTCATTTTAAGTTATTGTGTGTAATTGATGTCACAGATATTTACTCTTGAGTTCCAACATGAAATGGGCTTAGCATGCATACTATATATATTGGTGATTGCTTATGTTACCATAATTAGATTAGGCTTAATTTAGAATTTTTACTCTTTTAAGTAATGTATCTTTTTAATACAGGAAAAGCACAGAACATCAGTTCTCTATCATTATTGAACTAATAATAAATGATTAAATTTTATTTTATAAGAACTTTTCAACCATTTGTTATCCTAAAGAGACTCAAAAACTCTGTTTAACATCTGATGTAAGGAAAGAAATAGGTTATTCAAAATACTATTGGTCTGAGGAATTGCACTAGAAATAATAGTACAAACAACAAGAGACCATTTGGTTCTACACGGCTGTTTCTTCAAACTTATCCTTGAGAAAAGGAAAAACTTGAATCCATCCTTTATTTTACAGGGAATTATTGGTTCATCTTTTAAGCTCTTGTGAAATGCTGGCCTCCACTACTGCTAATAGGAAATCATTTCATAAGTCAGTCACCCTGTTAGAAAAATAAAACTTGCCTTTACAAAACTCAAGACTTCTCTGTCCTGTCATCCTATGAAGGATCATTTGTCATTTTAACATTTTTCCACCTTTAACACCCTTAAAATAATCCTTGAGGTTAATTTTAAGGATATCAGCTAGCTATTTTTTATAAACCCTTGTGGCTTCACTAATTTTGTTTTTAACTTAATTCCTTGCTTTTCTTTCTGTCGGTTTAAACCTCTTAAACATATGGCACTCATCTTTCATTTCATTCTTTGTCTATAGTAAGCCAATTTGTTTGGTCTTCCCTGTTATCCTTTTCTTCTTTTTAAGACCATGTCTATTTTGAATTAAAAGCAATTTATTTTTAATTTTTTTCCCCATATCTGTTGCAAATTACCTTTCAACTCATTACTTCACTTCACTAATGAATTTTGTTTCATGGCCTCAAAACTGGGTTTCGTAAATTGGGAATTAAACATTCATTTCTTTTTATCTCAACATGTAGAAAAACATAAAACTTAATTATGCAATGATCACTCCTGTCAGAAAGTTCCTCATTTTCAACCCTTGCAACCATAACCTTGTTAGTGTTTGACAATAAATCTAAGATGACATCCCTTCTGGTTGAATATCTGATCATTTGGTATAGAAAAACCATCCTAAATCATCTCAATAAGCATCACTCCCTCACTTTGTTATTCCATGCATCCAATCGAAGTATCTACAGTTCAAATCATTCATAGTTATTACATTAGTAACCATATTAGTAACAATCCTGATCTGAATATACAATTTCACATTAGAATAATCTGTCTAGTATATAAAGACCTCGCAATGAAATATGTCTCAAGAACTTAAAAGAGGTTGCAGGAAAGAGAAAATATGTAATTGTTTGTTTTAACCAAAATTTACATAATGAGTTTTTAGTGCTCTGTCTGCTACAGGGATGGAAACTTGAATTTTAATCATAATCCCTGAAGCTTATTGCTGAACCACGTGAGGATGTAAAAAATATAAGAAAGGTATTGGAAAAACATGCCAAAAAAATTGAAAACTTGACCAAATATTTACAGTTACTAGTAAATCTGGGGAAAGACTGCTAACGTATAGGATTAATTTTATACCATTAAGCTGACAGTTTCTCTATAGTGCAGAAATTTATGAATTAGTAAGTTGCCATAATTGCATAGAACTTAGAGTTGAAAACTGTAATCGTATATTTATAAATCAACACTTTTCCATTAGTTTAGATATATAATTTCACAAGCAGGGTGGATTAGCTCTTTCATGACACTCAAGATAAAGATATGTGCATTGAAAAATCTGAGAACATCAAATTGAAATCACAGAACTATTAATATAATTGATGACATTTCTGACTTGAGTGAAGGCTTGAATATAATAATTTATCAAACAAATTTAATTTGCATTGTTCCAGAAAGAATTTCAAAAATTCAAAGGTTTTTAAGAAGTGAAGACATAGGATGTTTTAAGAAGAGCTGCATGCAGTGGCATTTAATTGGAAAGTACAAGTTACATCAAAATAAGCTCTTGGGAAGTTCTCATTATTACAGCAAAGTTGGGTCTAATTTTTAAAATTATTTGACTATGTAAGAAGTGATCTGAGATCCTAAAAGAGACATTTAGAAGATCTTGTGTATGGTGAAAGAGTGGCATTTATACTCGTTAACTTGAGAAATGTGAATAGGTTAAAATTCAGTTACAAACAGAGTGATGATTTAGACTTTTGCTCTCTTATTAAGAATTTTTTTCTTTAAAAGGGACTTGTCCACTAATTAGTGTAGTTGTTGAAAAGCAAACTATACTTCATGCTCACTTGCATTCGATTGAGAACTATTTCATTATTTTTAAAACATTTTTTACCTTTTAATTACCTACTAAAAATGAACTTTCCAATTTAGTAGTTACAACAGAACATAAGGTATGCTACACTATGATTAAAAGTTCTTTATTATTATCTGCATGAATTTCTTGCCATTATGAAAGTTAACTCTTTCATATAGGTATAAAGTCCCTGAGGTTATTTAGTGAGTTTCAGTGGCCGAAAGATTAAACTTTGAGGGAGAAAAATGTTTCAAATTAAAATTTCATTGTAAAGCTTTCAGTATAACCTAGCAGTAGGATGTAATTTACATCACTTCTTATGGTCTTAAATCACAAATACTGTACTAATTTTGTCTTTTAGTACTATGACAAATAAAAGCACAGTGAATGATTTTAACTTTATAACAGATGGGTGGCATTCTGCCTTGATGGCAAAAAGCACCATAGAATAAAACAAAATTATAGAAAATAAACGTGTAGTCATTCATCAAAACATAAAAAAAAAACCTTCAGAGTTGAAATTTATTCATTAAAAAAGTTTAATTTATTTAATTCATAAAAATATCAAATTTGTTTTTAGGGTTCATTTTAGCATGCTCAAAATGAAAATATTAATGTTTAATTTATTCTAAGTATAATATGGCATTCATAGCAGGATAGGAAGATAGTTGGAATAGTTTTGTGCAAAATAGCACTATTTTGACCTATCTTCAATAAAATGTAGTTTTATGAATTTTTGTACTGTTTCTCAACTTTGGTTGTCTTGGTGTGATATAATTGCCTATTTCTTAGCTTTTGGAAGTTACTTAAACATATCATGAATGTTCTTTTTCTGTTCTTTTCAACTGTATAAAAGTGAAAAAGCTTGTCTTAGTGGCATGTTGCTAGAAGAAAAGATGTTGTCTACAAGTTCTGCCAAAGTTATTGCCCCAGTTTATTATTTTCAAGCTTGTGAAAAGCTTGCTTTATAATTATATACTTCACTTGAATTATTATATTGCATTATGAGGAAAAGAAATGTTTTCCTTGAAACAGGATATGGTAGGCTTAGTTAACTCATTTTACACTTGACTGTATCAACATTTTTGTCAACAAGGCTGCTGTATTAGGCCTTATTGGCTTAAGTAATGCCTTGAATGGACAAAGAAAATCATTGAAAAGAATTCTAAAAAGTATATACATATAAAGGAATATAAAATGGGTTTAAGACTTGTTACATATATATTACAAGTAACCTTCTGGTTAAGAATTTAAAAGAAAGTCAGCTTGCCTATAATTTTGGCATTGTAAAACTATTTTTATTTAAACCAGCAATTGTAAACACACTGGAATTGCGAGCAGTGTTGTTTAGATCAAAACAAGGATAAAATTTACAGTTTTATGAAATAAAAACTATAAGGAAGTTTTAGAAGAATATAGGAAAGCATTAAAATCAGTAATTAAAATGTGCAACAAAGGTAAACATTTTTAATAGTCTCTTAAAAAAATAATAAATTTGGAATCTTTTTAAAATTTCAAAGCTGCAAATTCTTACACTTATCACAACTAAATAATAAGATATTTGCAGAAGCAAAATAATCTGTAAAAGGTCATCTATTGTTCCAAACTATTTTAAGTAGTTATTTTTTCTATGCAATAAAACCATACAACAGATGTGTCAAATTGATTCACCTAGGTGTCTGAACGGTAAATAATGGACCATATTTTATTAACTTCTGTGCTAAACTCATATTGCTGTGAAAGTTGTTAATGCTTTTGATGTGTTTTATTTAATTATTTTCAGGCATAAAACAAGCGACAGCTTAAAGTCTTAAAACTCATAAGAAAAAATCACTGTTCTTTTTCAGAGAAATGAATTTTGAGTAGAATTATGACGTGTAAGACATTAAAAAAATATTTCTAGTATGATAATTTATTAATAACAAGTTAGAATTCAATGTAAACAACCAACTGAATTGGCAGTTGCAAAATTCACATTATTTGAGAAGGAGTTGGTAAATTGGTACTTGATTTATTTTTAGATTTAAATAAAGCTTCTAATACTATTAACCAACTGATTGCTGATTTGCTGTATAGGGTACGGTTGAATGTGAGTGTGCTGTATTCAGTGTACAGTTTGCAAAAATTCTGTGCATGTTTTGAGCAGCCACAGTCAATAGGTTAACCAAGAAACATACTTAAAAAGCTTATTGTAGTGAGTTATTGGTATTATGAGTGTTTCACAACTGTATTTTATCTGTTAGAATATAAGTTAGTCCAAGGACTGGGTAGAGTTTTAATCTTATGCTTGATGCTAAAACATTTGAAGGTGTTTTATGACTAAAGATATCAAAAAGTGATT